TACTCTCTTACCCTCTCAATCAACCTGAATGGTTTTTTTTTTTTTAAATTGATTGAAATTCTTAACCGCTCATATTATTGAGAGATTGAACACAATTAAATAGTGTATTAAATAGTGTCAACGGCTGCAATTATAGGAATTATAATAAATTGTTACCAATTTATTTATTATTGTCATTATTATTATAGTAAAATTGATATCTATTAAAATTCCATACCAAATATATAAATACAACATAATCAAATTTTCCAAATCAAAATTTTGGGCGAAAGAAGTTGCACTAGAAGATTAAAGACAAGGGAGGGGCCAATTCCGAACAAGACGCGGCAAAGATGATGACAACAAATTTTGGGTGAAAGAAGTTGCACTAGAAGATTGAAGACAAGAGAGCTAGGGGCCAATTCCGAACAAGACGGCAAAAGTGATGGCAAAAAAAGGTGAAAACGAACATCAGTGCAGCAGCGACGAGCATAAATAGCAACAACAATAAGCAAGAATGTGGTGATGACAACAATGCAACAATTGAAGAAGACTAAGATTTTAGGAGGAGAGATGACATTTGATAATTACGTAGTGAGAAAAGAAAGATGAAATGAAATATGAGATTTGAGAGAAAAGTAGGGTTAGATTAGAGTTTTCTAAACCTTGCTTAGTTACAAAACTACCCTTTAATTTTATTTTTTTAATATACCTATTTGGATGAGGTTGTATTTACAAAATAAATAAATAAATAAATAATGAACCTAGATTAAAATTATTGAATTTTAAATATAAGTTTTATTTTTTTGGGAGAAAGGCCAAATATACACTTACTTTTTATAGAATTAAAAGAATAATAATAACAAAATTATCCTGCACTACATTAATATCAGAATTTTCATGTTTAAAAAAAATCATAATTTTCATAGATGATACAAAGTGACATAGTAAATTTTCAGTATTTATTTGTAATATTTCAAAAGGAAATTTTTCATTTGGTAACTCATCTTTTTCTTCATAGTCGTCGTTAATGTTTTCCATTCTCATAGTCGTTTCCATATATGTATTTAAAAGTAATAATGAAATAAAGTACATAAATTAAAAAATAGATACAATCATATTAAATTCATATGATACCTGAGATAAAAAAAATTACTTTATTTTTTTTACTAATGAATCTAAAAAGACCTAAGTAAAAGAATATATTATAATTATAAAAAATTATTATAATTAATCAAATTTGCCCCGAAACATTTTTAAATAAAGTTATTTCAATTAATAAAACACGTATTACAATATTAAAAAAATTCATACAAAAAAATAAAATTATATTGACGGATAAATAATCATCTTTAACATTTTATTTGATCTTTTTAGTACAACATATGGGATTAAGATTCGAACTCACGACCTTTTAGTGGGAGATATGTGTATATCTACCCAAATATGTATTGTTGTTAAAATATTAATCTATTTTATTAAGCTAACAAATAAATCATTTATAAAGATTATCTATTTATTATTTATTTATTTTTTTAGTAAGAAGTGATTTGTTTGAATAAAAGTTAAAAATGTACAATTAAGACACGAACTTCTCCATGAATAGATAGCTCAAATCTCACTCTTATAATTGTTATGCTATATCCAAAACAAATTTATAATTTAAAAATAATAATTGAGTGAGCAACGTCAAAATCACATTCGTGGAGATTATAACATGTGAAAAAAATACTATATAATTTTAACGTTGGAGTGTTCTTTCAACTTAGTTATTTTATTTTAAAATTTTCAATTTAGTCTCATATAAGATTTTTAAGTTATCTCTTGGGATCAATAAAGGTTAAAATTGACTAAGTATAAACTTACATGACACAGTACTTAATAAAGTGACGGAATTAGACCAAAATATTATAATATTTAGTGAGTTGACAACAAATTATATAAGAACATATATTATCTAAGAGAAGAAAATTTTAAATTTCTACTAAGTTATTAAAGTTTTTGGGGAGGAATGAGAGACTTTTACCTCTAAAACTATATTGTTTTCCTCCTCTAAAATTTCACTAATTTCATGTAAATTTATCATTAGTTAAATTTAATTTACAAGAGACTAAATTAAAAAAATGTAAAACGTAAGAAAATAAAGTGAAACTTTTTAATTAATGAAGACTAAATTAAAAAATATACACAAAGAACTAAAACATATACTTTCTCGTAAACGTATTCAACCAACTAAATAAAATTATATTATCTTTTATTTGTTTTTTTTTAATAAAACTACATTTATAAGAATATATAAAATTAATCATACTTAATTTTTAAAAATAATTAAACTGAATAATATTTCATCAATTTATTCAACATTTTGAATATTTAAAAAACACACGCGTGCAAAGTACGTGGTAAAATACGTGCTTGTTGATTAGCACTTATCTTTGTTTTACTATCAATTAAAAAAACTAGTTGAATTTTACTTAGGTTGACATCTACTAGGATTTTGTTGCTAGAAAAATTAGTTGAATATTAATTAAATATTTAGTATGCACCACCACATATTGAACCATTCTCTCTAAACCATTTGCTTTTTTACCTAGGCATTTAATCCATTGAGTCAACTCTGAAAAAAATAGTTTTTTCTTTGTTAAACTATAGATCTAGTTCGTATATTTGAAAAAGTTTTAATTTGGTCTCTAGAGTTTTAAAAGTTTCAACTTATTATACCCCTAAGTGTTATACTGGATTTGAATCATATTTCCGATCAATCTATATTGATTGACTGCCTCCATTATGTTATTACCAACAAATACCACTATTTTTTGTTTTGGATCTTCCAAATCGTCCGGGACGTTTGGACCCTTTTTTTTTCTCGTGATACTTCGATAAAAGATTCATTCTCTTCCTAAAAATAGGGGTAGAACCAATAAATATTTTTTTTTCGATTCATCCCTAGAGTTGAATGCACCAAATTGTTTTTCATCAAATTTGTAGGAATCAATAGAAAATGCGAATCTCTTATGATACACCAGATCCGACTCCATTATTGATAAAGTGAATAGAATTTACTTAGTTTCAATTTAGTATTTGTTGTTTGGATTTATACTCAATTTAGTTCCTATGATTTTAAAGGTTGTAATCTGGTCTCTATGACGTCAAATTTCACATATTGTTTTTGTATAATTTTTTTTCAATTGGCAATTTTTTATTTTAATAATTATACTACTCGATTATGGTAAGATTTAGGGTTAAGTAAAAAATTAAAAGAAAATCAGGCGGAAGGCGTCGTTTTGAATTATGCTATTCTATTCTTTTTATGAAACCTCAAAATTTCTGCTATCTTTTAAAATAAATACTTATTATATTTCTCTTTAAAAAAAAAAAAGAATAAATACTTATTTTATGCTATCGAAATGTTTAATTCCATTAATTTTTGTAAAGTTTGACGTTTGGAAAAGAAATCGCGACAAGATCTTAAGAAATCAAGTTATATTTCAAAGTGGGCCGACCAGTTTTTTCTTCAGGCCCACTCACTAGCTTCCACACCAAGGTACCTTCTACTGGGCCAGCTCCATCAGAAAGTCTTCTGGGCTCTCATAGAAGGGATTAGTACAGAAACTCAATTTTACATTAATAAAACCGTAAAAAGGAAAAAAAAAACAAAAACAGTAATTACAAGTATGAAAAAAAAAACGTATTAATAGTATTTACTAAAAAAGATTGTAAAAGTTGAAGATAAATCTGAAAATTAATCGTCTGTTTGACTTGCTTTTTGAAAATAGACAAATATTTGAATTTTTTGTTTTTTAGGCAGAATTTTTCTTTTAAATGTGAACAAAATAAATAAATAAATAAATTAGTTACAATAGGGGTGGAATCCGCTTGGTTTGGTGGTCAAAATTGATGTATGTATAGATCTATTAACTTAAAAAAAAGGGTCAAAAGCTTTTTTTGTTAAATTTAATTACATAAACAAATCAGTCCGAACAAATAAATATATTTCAAACTAAATTGATTGCTTTTAGTTTTATTTTTTAAGAAATTGAACATATTGATAAATATATTTCAAACCAATTGAGATTGAACTAACTCGATTAAGTAGGGTTTAACTTGCACCGTTATTATTTTTTTTTTTCTGACAAAAACTTGTACCACTATTCAAACATAAAATTTCAAAAAGTTTTTCCTAAGTTGAAATAGACAGGGCAAAGCGAGTATAATTTAGTGGTAAATAGTACATATCTCAAACAAATTAAGAAATTGTGAGTTCGAATCACACCTTGATATGTCCTACTAAAAAATATATACGAAATTTAAGGCCAGCTTAATTTTGAACTGAAACAAAACTGTTGTTAGTTGAGGGTTTAAATCATTGTTTATTGGATAAACTATTTGGTTACTTATTTTATATTTAAAAAAAAAGACAAATATATTAAAAAAAAATGGAGGATCTCACTGTTCGAGATAAGGCACAAACATCCTTAAGACAAACAGAAGACAAGAGGACCAGATAGTAAATCAAGAAAACAAATCTTAGGTAGGGATAAACATTAGATCATAACTCAAACAGCAACTTATCGATCATGAGTTTAGAGACATTGCTTTCGCCGATACGTTTTTTTTGTTTTGTTATATAGTTTTTATAAACATTTCAAAACCTGGACCAAATCTGTGATTTTGTTTTTTAAAATTTAGCTTAAAAGTAAAATATGGAAAAACTTATTAATAAAATTATTAAAAAAACGTAATTTCAAAAAATTAAAAATTAAAAATGAAGGTGACTCAATTTTATTTTATTTTATTTTTTTATTTTTACTTCCAATATAAATTTATAATTTCCCTTTTTTTCGACAAATATAATTTCCCTTTCTTACAAAACAGCGGAACAAAAAAAAATTTAGCGAGAAAGAAGTCTGAGCTCTTAACAAAATTTTGTTCACGTGAAAGGTGAATTAGTGGACGAAAACAAAAGGGAAAATACGCAAAATTGTAAGGAAAAAAAAAATAAATAAAAAGTCGACCATTTCATTTTTCCCTCTCTCGTCTCGCTCTGCGAAAACACTGTAGACTGTGAACCCTGAAGAGTGTACTTTCTTGTCTGTATTTGCTTCTATTGCTGCTCTCGCTACCTTCTTCTCACCAAAGAAAATCACACGCCATTGTTCCTTCCTCCGAACAGTTTCGAGGTATGCTTTCAATGGAGTTTCAGTTTTCCTTTGTAATTCCGTTTTTAAATTTTTAAATGAATGCCTAAACTGTCGCCTGTCGATGTCCATGTAATTTATGCAGCCGGAGAGAACTCTCTTGTCGGAATGGAGATCTGAGAGCCGTGGGATTCTCGGCTCTGGAAGTGGAATGGTGAAAACCGGCGGCGATATGGAGAGGGACGGTGGTGTTAGAGCGGAGGTTGATACTTCGGCGCCGTTCGAGTCGGTGAAAGAGGCCGTCAGTAGGTTTGGCGGAAGCGGCTTTTGGAAACCCTCTCACAGTCACAGTCACAGCCACAGTCAGCTATCTGAACACGAGGTTTCCTCCTACCTCTCGCTCTATATGTGTTGTGGAATATGCATTTTGTTTGGGGAAAACGATGTCGTTTGTTTTGAAATTCTTGGATTCTAGTTGAATGGGCAATTCCAATCATTAGGGCTTGGAGTCTTGGGCAGTGACCGTTCTTGTTCTTTTGTCGTTGTCTTTTGGAGGTACTAATTTGAGATGTTTTTACGCTTATTAGCCACTTCTTGGATATGTACAAGTGATCCTGAATCACTCTGGATCCTGTTCCTTCTGTTCTGTTTGTCACATTAGAGAGATTTGTAAAGTTTGCTGTTCGTTCTGAATATGACTAATGCTACTTGCTAAATTGATTTATATTCTCTCTGTGCTTTGATTTTTGAAAGGTCCTATGGTTTGAGTCTTTGAGGTAGAAAGCTTAACAAATAAAAACTCTTAATGGAACATATAAATACGATATCGCCATGTAGATTACTGGGGATGGGGCTTCCGAAATGGCTATAAAAGAAATATCAAAATATTTGTAAAGACGCAGAATCAAAGACAATCTGGGAAATATTGGCGCATTCACATGGTTTTCATTTATCTGTATTGTGCCTGGATTACATCGAAATCGGGTGCAGATTAATTTGAGAATTAAGTTTGTGCCGTGTGCGCTGACCTGGTATTTATTTTTGTGTTTCTTATTCATCATTAGCATGATAAGGACGAGGTTGAGGTTGACAGTGCTAATTTGGAGAAGCACGCAATGAGCATGGAGAATGAACTGATTATCAAAGAAAGGGAGACCCTGGAAGTATTGAAAGAACTGGAAGCAACCAAGAGGATTGTGGAAGATTTGAAATTAAAACTGCAAAAAGAAGCATTTGAGGTCAGCGAGACTCGGCATACGACGAGAGAGGATACGAATGAAATTGCTGCTAAGGAAGCAGATAAGGAAAACCAGGGGTATCTTGATAGTCCTGGTCAGAATGTGCAAAGCTGCCCTGCACCTGGTTTAATTCTTATGGAACTGGAACAGGCCAAGTTAAATCTTACTAGGACTACTAGTGATATTGCTGATATTCGAGCTTCTGTTGAATCTTTTAACAAGAAATTGGAGAGAGAAAGAACTGGGCTTGAGAAAACTCGAGAGAGGTTAGCTCAGAATTCGTCCAATATATTAGCCCTTGAGGAAGAGCTAAACCAAACAAAACTAAAGCTTCAAGTGGTGAAAGATGCTGAGGCAAAAGGTTTTCCGGATAACCATTTAGAGATTTCGAAGGAGCTGCAACAATTAGGTTTTGAGGCGGAGAAGTTCAAGGAAATGAAGGCAGCGGTGGAACTAGAAGTTTTGAGAATTGAATCCGAGATTGAACGGAACAAGGCCATGATGAATACAGCTCAAGTCAAGTTGTTTGCAGCCAGAAAAATGAAGGAAGCTGCCAGAGCAGCAGAAGCTGTTGCTCTCTCTGAGATCATGATCCTGACAAAGCATGAGAATCCATCTAGTGATATTTCACAAACTCATGGAAGTGAACGTGTAACTCTTTCATCAGAGGAATATTCGACTCTCGCTCTTATAGCTTGTGAAGCTAAAGAACGATCTCGTAAGAGAGTTATAGATGTCATGCAGCAAGTTGATGCTGCAAACGCATCGAAGATGGAGATCTTGAATCAGGCAGAGAAAGCTTCTGAGGAACTCAAAATAAGTCAAATAGCACTGGAAGCAGCTCTGAGCAGGGTGGATGCTGCAAATCAGGAAAAGCTAGCAGTGGAAGAAGCTCTACGAAAATGGAGGTCGGAGCACGGTCAGAAACGGCGAACCGTTCAAAACTCTACCAAGTTTAAGAATCCTTGTCCTCCTCACTATAAAAGGGATTCTCGGCTACTCGATGTAAATGGAATGAATATGGTAAGTGATGGACCGATGCCTGTTTTGAAGCCAACCCTTTCGATCGGGCAAATACTAAGTAGGAAACTGTTACCTCCTGAACAATTCGAGTCGGCAACTCCCTCTGAGAAAAGCTCAGTCAGAAGGAAGATGTCCCTTGGTCAGATGCTCAGCAAACAAAATGACGATCTATCCTCTTTGAAGAGAGCTGAAAAAGATACCAGCCAGAAGCAGCCTTCTGGAAAAAGAAAGAAGTCGGGATTCGCTCGGTTTACGCTGCTGTTGGCGAAGCAAAGTAAGAAGAAGAAGAAACTCACAGTTGCTAAGAAGCAACCAGTAAGTTTAGTTTAATTTGGTTGATCTCAAGATCCTCCACACCTGGGTTCTAAGTGCCTTTTTTCTTGTATCTTCTCTCCACTTGTTAGGTCTTTCTTTAGGATGATGATGTTTATATTTTGGATAGTTTCTAAACGGCTTTGCCTTATATTTATATCTTGTTCTTGATCTTTTAAGGACTGTTATCACTCACTCGGAAAATGCAGTCTTCAAAGTTCAAACTATTTCAGGTTTGTTGAATGGATAAAAATTTGAACATATCATTTGAAGGGGAAAAAGAATACTAACTTAAACATCTCAAAGTCGATCAGATTTTAAAATATTTGTAGGATATCAAAAGAACGCCTACAAATAGGGGTGTAATTAGGTTGGGTCGGTTTTGAGGAAAAATGGAAAAAGTCGAATCGGTTCAGCAGAGAAGAAAACCGACCCAACCCGGACCGATTCAAGTTGGTTCCTTACGCTCCTACCTACAAATACATTCTCTAGCTCATGGAAACAAACGAGTGAGCTGAGTTTGTATAATTTGAAGTCGAAAAATCATAATTTACGTTTAACATATAAATTTGTTTATTTCAATCTATAATATACTATAGAAATTCAATTTATATAATTCAAACTTTTAAATTCACCTCTTTTTTTATTATTTCAATAATAGAGTAGTGATTCGAAACTCCAATTTTTATGGATCTACGTAATATTTTGATCAATTGAATTATATTAATAATGGAAAACTTAACTTCTCTTCTTAAAACTATACGTCACATAGATTTTGACGAAGAATGAGTTTACACCAAGAATATGCAAACCCCTAGGGCTAAAACTTTGCTTCGAAGGAGTTTTTGTTAATGGAGGTTTCTATTTTGTGCCAAGCATTAATTTCGCCGATCAAAATAATATGTTGAAGTTGAGTAGAGTAAAAGACATAAGGTATTTGATCTTGGGTATTTTTAATTATTTATTTTATTTTTCTCTTTTTTTCTCTATGCATTTGTAATACCTAATTTGTTCATAGCCTTGGAGAGAGGATTACACAACTTGACTTTTTATAATGTACAATCGGTTGAAAAGACTTTTTTCAGTACAATAATATGTGAGGTGAGGATTTGAACACATGATCTTTTGATGGATTTTATATGTCTTAATTAGTTGAATTAGGTTAAAGTTTGTGAGTCGAAATCACTTATCTTAGCTAAATTTTGCGTTTATTAGTTACTTTCTTGTTCAACTTTTCTTTTAGTTTGGTTTGTTTGCATTAAATTTAAAAAAAAAAAGAAAGAAAAGAAAATTAATGAAACCTTTTTATTTGATAAGGGATTCTTGTTTTGAAATCAATTTAATTCTTGTTTTGAAATTCCTTTTTTCGTTTTCTATTTTTAAAAAAAAAATTAAGCTTTTTCCTTAAAAAAAGGGAATAATTTTGGTATATATTTTTAAAAACACATTTAAAACTTAGCAAAGTATATAAAATACAAAGAAACACATTAACAGAAAAAGTAGCAAAGTAGCATTTATGAGCTTAATTTTAAAAATAAATGTAGTGACTTTTTCAATCTAACAAACTTTTTAATAGAAATAAAGTATATTAAATTTAAAATAAAAATTTTAAATCTAATATTCCTGTTCATCACATAAAAGTCATAATAAAAATAATATTAAAATAAGATAGACAAATCAATTTTCATTTATTTTTTTTCTTTTAAACGAAAATTAATATGTATATAAACACATTTTAAAGAGTATAAGAATCAAAACCAAATTAAAAATAAATGACCAAATTAGTATTTTAACCAATTAAATATTATAGAAATTAATTTTGAATATAACAAGCAAGCTAAAAATAGGTTATCATCTAAATCTCATATTCGATTTTTTTTTAATTTTGAATAAGAGTTAAAACTACAAATTAAAAAATGTAATTTAACCGAGAAAAATATCAATATCTCATTCTAATTTCTCATGTTCGAATTGCACGTGAGAAATATCCGCATGAGAAAAAATAAAAATAATAAAAAAAAAATTCTTAAAGAGCGATATTGAAAATTGGAATGAATGTTCCAATTCCAAGTTTCTAGAGGGAATCAGTTCCATCGTCTCTTTCGGACGCCTCGGAACGAAACCAGAGCCTGGTTGTCTAAGCGAAGGCATGTATTTCTCTGCAATCTGATTTCTGTTCTCCTTGAAATCCGAAATTCTTCATCCCGCGCTCTGAGAAACCGCCGGGAAGAAGATCTATAGATCATCCGCGTTTGCGGTTAAATTTTCTGGGAATCTAGATCTTTTTCCTTCGTTTTCTTTGCTGCCAAACGCATTTTCTAGGTTTTTTTTCTTCCTAATTTTATGATTGGGGCGCATGGCTTTTATAACCCTCGGTCTTTTGTTCTATTTGTATTTTGTCCTTATTTCATTGACGTCTGTATGGAAATATCTTTGTTTCGTCAGTAAGTACGTGGTGTGGTAATTTCAGTTGAAGCTTACTTTTTATTGCTGTTTTTCGTCGTATTCTCAGGCATCAGGCGCAATGGATTTGAGGTTTGGACTAATTTTCCTTCTCGTGGTTGGTGCTGCTTGGGACTGTGATGCTAGAAATCTTGCATCCTCTGGTAAATCTTTATTTTTCATTTTTGATCGATATGTCTGATTGTTGTTTAGAATTGGATAAATATGTAACGTAATCTAGGCCGTAATCTCAATTTCTTCTCTAATTTTTTGGGAAATTCAAATTTATCTTTTTTGTGTATTGATTTTTCCCCCATGAAATTTAGATTGAAACGAATTTAAATAGAGTATTTTGGTCATGAGGTTTTATGAGTCTAATTTCCACAAGCCATTTCAAACCGAATAAGTTTCTGAATTTATGGATGAGCTTGTCTATTTCATCCCATAAAAAGGTAAAGTATGGGTATTTGTTAATTAATAAAATGAATTTTGATGCTACATCGTCATTTTGTCAATGAATTTTCACATTTTGACGGCAGTAAGAATTCGATTGAAAATAAATTAATTCATTAAAGATGAAATTGGGATTTTTAAAAATAGTCCAAAAGGGAGTAAACTATAACTTAGTCTTTAGAATTTGATGGTTCTGGTTATGACTTATGTCTCCTGATTTTTTGTGAGCTCTGTTTTATATTATTTGGCTCATTAAAATGACTAATTGTATTTCTTCTTGTTCTGTTTTTTTCTTTTGGTTAATGATTGTTTAACTTGAGATCAAATGCACAGACGTCTCCTCGTATTACTTGTCTTTAAGACTTCCAACAAACATAAGCATTATGTGAAGATGACATTCTAATTGAAAAACCTTTAAATCTTTTGCTTTGAGTGAGACTTTTATCTCATCAAAAAAGTCGTCATTTCTGCTGTTTCAGATTCTGAGTTAAGCTACCTAAGGCAAGAGAAGGACAATGAGGCTTTATCTGAAGCTTCCGAGGATCCGAAGATATGTAAACTCTGTGAGAGCTTGGTCAGTCAGACAGTTGAATACCTTGCAGATAACAAGACCCAGGATGAGATCACTGTTATTCTCCGGAAAACCTGCGCTGTGTTGGGCCTATTCAATGAGAAGGTATGGCTGCTTACGCTTATACGACTTTTTATTTCACGAATCTGCAGGAGTGTGCATTTGAAATGATTGATAATTTTCTGTTCATTTATAACGAAGAAAAACTTTTTTCGGCTAGCCTAGCTATAGCATAGTATCTTCCATCATTTATCATCTCACTCTCAAATGAAGTGACAGAACAAAAGAATTTACTCTCGTTGATATTATCTTTGTTCCATTTTTTCAGTGCATCAGTCTGGTGGACTACTACGCTCCTCTCTTCTTCTCAGAGATTTCCTCAATTGAACCTACCAGCTTCTGCCAGTCAGCCCGATTCTGTGAGCAAATTACCGTAATGTCCTTGCAGATTCAGGAAAATAGCTGTGGATTTTGTCATCAGACTGTTTCAAAAATGGTGGAGAAGTTGAAAGATCCTAACACACAGGTTTGATATTATACATTCTGCTGTTTTATTTGCTTATGAGGAAATTAAAAAACTTTTTAGTGATCTATGAAAATTTTAACACTCTTGGTCTGGATTTCTTATTGGATTAAATTGTGCGGATTGAGTGGGGATGCAGAGTTCTGAACAAACACCTTTTCTTTTGTCAGAATGACTTTGTTGTGAACATTTGTTGATTGGAACGTAGCAGTAATATATATGTATTTATGACTGTGTTTAAACTTATCACAAAGTCTATAGTTGTTAAGAAATATATAAACATCTTCAGGATGGTAGTTTCTTATATATTTTTTCGGGTTTGTGAACATCTCTTATACGCTTTCTGTGTTGCAGATAGAAATACTTGAGACGCTTCTGAATATGTGCAACTCTTTGGGGTACCGTGTGAAAGAGGTATGAAGAATTTTCACTAACATTTATGCGTCCACTTATTTTTTCTGGTTTTGCTGTTTGAGAATGGTGAAAAGAATACGTAATTCATGTCCCTATTTCTGTCCTTTATTTTTATCCATTTCAGTTCCAGAAGTTATAAAAAAAAAATATTTGGTCTTTCTTTCACGTTTATATAATATCCAAACGTAACCAATAAGAGGTTGACCAAATTATCTAAACTTCCCATATCTAGTCTTCGATTGCCTCTTTTCAGCGGTCAGCCAACTTCTAATTTTGTTTCTTCCGTTGGTTTATTTGAGGGCGTTCCATAATCATTTCATTTTTCGTTTTTAGAAATTATGTTTGTTTTGTATATCTCATTAGTAAATTTTTCGCGAGTCTTGAAAACATATTTGAATTCTTAGCCAAATTTCAAAAATAAAAATAAATTTTTGAAATTGTTTTCAAAATTTGACTTAGATTTTGAAAATGTTTATAAAAAATTATATAACCAAGTAAAGGAAAAGTTTAATTTTTAAAAATAGAAAATAAAAAATGGAATAGTTATCCAGTTTTATTAATTCAATTTTAATTTTATAACGGAGTGTTTGAGGTCCACACTCCGTACATCATTAATTTCATGACTAGTGATTTGAAGCTGAGTTGCCCACAATTTTGCTTCCAATATATTCCTAAAATTTGTTACTTTTTCTCCGCAAGCTCAAATTTTTTAAACTGCGCATTATCATATTATATATAGTTTTTCAAGGTGCAAAATGTGTGTGTGTATATATATATATTTGTTGTGCACCTAAAAACACACACTCTGATGCTTAAGTCGTAGAGGACTATCCCACTATAGTGGGCCTCACACTTTAAGAAAATATTGTTCATGAATACCTTCACTAATGTTCAGGGTCTTGCTCACCCAACTAAGCTTTGAGATTTAATAGAAGTTTTAAAGTATTAAGTTTTTTATTTGAAGGTTTGAACTCAGGACTTTAGATATTATTTCTAAATATACGGAGACTTCATTATCAGCTTTCCGGTACCTTTATGGTTAGTATTAGTAGACACTTATTTCAACTCAAAATCTTGCTCAATCATTATAATTATCTCTTGCATTTATAATACTATCACACAATACCACACAACCAACTAACGATCAATATGTTATTATTATTATTATTATTTTTTGTCCATTAAGCCAAGCCAAAAATAAAGCAATCTAATATAGGCAATCAATCTCTACTTTTTCATATTGTGATATTTTCAATTATTGAGCAGTGCAAGAGACTGGTATTTGAATATGGGCCTCTGATTGTGGCCAAGTCGGAGAAAATTCTAGAAAATACAGATATTTGCAGAGCAATACATGCTTGCCCGGCGGTAGCGGGTGGCGACAACACCACATCATTTGTTGGAACTCTGCCTGCGCTTGCCGACGCTTGAATTTCCACACCAGACACGATGGGATCGACATGTCGTTTCTGAAGGAAAATGGGTAAGAATTTAGTTGTTCTCTTGCCCTTCTCTGTCTGTATAAGAATCTTAATATTATACAATCTCTGTCCATGGATGGTCTGGGTATAATGATGTACGTTCTGACACAAGATTATATGTATATGATTGGCTGTTGCTCTATTCAGTGTATAATTTATAAACGTGTCACTGTTGGTGGAACTTTGGAATTGTCCAGATGTGGCCTAAGCATGTACTCTTCAATTTAGGTAGCGTTTATACGCGTCGGACACTCTGACACTTAGATACTTATTATACAGGTATCAAATACTTGTTAGTTCAATAGAGCCGTGTCACACTAAGTTGTACAAAGTGAATATGGATAAGATATTTGCTAGGTAGATGTCAAAAACTTGTTAAGACATAAACATAAATAGTAATATTAGATAAAATAATGAATTTTTAAAAATAAAATACATCAAACACATTTTTTTAAGTATAAAAATGCATTAACTTAGCAACTTTGAATTTACTTGTATAAAAATGATATACACTTAAAAAATTTGTATACAGCGTGTCCTTGTTATGCTTTCGTCTTAGATTTTTATAAAAATGATGTGTCACCATGTCCATATTGAGTTATATCCATGTCTCGTTTCCGTATATGTGCTTCTTTTAAGTTGTGACTATTCAATTTGAATGGTTGGCTGTTGCAGAATTGAGTAAATAATTTATAAGCTTTGTTTGTAGCCGAATGTGTCACTGTTGTAGCTATTCAATTTGAATGGTTGATGCTGCTTTACTTGAGTTGGAATTTGATGTGTTCTTGTATTTTTGGACCTTTGTGTTGTGCTGGCATTTTGCCTATAATGTGAAGTGAAGAAGAAGCAATACTTTACTTTTTAGGTTGGTAGGTTGGTTATTTCCCCCCTGAGTTTAACGTACTAAAACCAACTCAAAGAAAAGTAATAAAACCAACTCAAAGAAAAGTAATAAAAGTAACAAAAAACGGAAATATTACCAAATGTGTAGGAGCCATTATTTGTGAAGTTGTTAAAAGATCACTCTTCCATTTATAACTTGTATGATTAGGGTATGGAAAGTGTAACATGTGGATAGAACTAAAAGCATAGTATGCATCGTTGCTTTCCTCAAACCCAATTGAAACAACCTCTATAACATGTGGTAAAGAGTAAAAATGCCTTTTTGCGAATATATTTCTATAAATATTTTATTTTTTCAACAATTTGTAGTTGTTTGAGCTAACTTGTCATGAAATATTATTTTTAAATTCATAAGATTAGTTCATCTCAAAGACTTAAAAAAAATTTAATCACCTAAACTAAATAGATAAACTCTAAAAATTTATGAATCTATTTTGTAAGTTAATTTTTACACTATAAAATATAGGTTTGAATTCTTTAATTTAGAATTAGTTGAGATTTGTTCAAGTTGGTACGGAAATTTATTTGAGTATAAAAAGAATCTAACCTATGGACACACTTGATCTATTGCAACTATTTAAGTTATAGATTTTGAAAATTGTTGAATGAGACAGTCAATAAAGTTTTCTTATTGAATCTACATTCGAAATCCACATGTTTCTTAATCATCTATTGAATATATTTTCAAAATACTACTAGTTTTTCTTGCATACGTCCTTCTTAGATCAAGAATATGTGAAATTGAACCATATATTTCTTAACCAATTGTATTTTGATTAACACTACGACTCAAATTACGACCGTCCTCACGTCTCCCGGAAGAACCATGAAGGCCACGCAAATTTGGGTGGACCAAGTGAAGTTTCCTGCCAATGGTATTTAGGTAAATTTGTCTTTGGCAAACAAAAACTGACGTGTGTGGCTGTCACTGGGCCGGCGTCTGTTACCGGATGCGACGTGGAAACTAATTTTACTTACGTGTCGTTTGGTGATTGGTGGAGATGAGGGAAACAGGTGACAGACAGTGGCCGTTCCGGCGCGTGATATTCACTCCTCACACGTAGCCAATCAAGACGCTGTCAAGCACGTGTCCCACACTCGTGTCGTTTTCCTGCTGTTACTTCCACGAAAACACTTCCCACCGGCTAGCTCCACCCCAAGTCTTTAAAAATTTAATCATTTTTAATTCCTTTTCTTAAACTTAAAAAACATAAAAACGTTCGTTACCAACAACAGAACTTCTACTCACTTTTGGACACGTGGTACTTTAATTATAGCATGGACAAAGATGTGATAGAGCTCCTCAATATATAATAAAGTCCTTTCCAGAAAGGAAAAATATATATATACACACACAGAGGTATGTATTATAAATTATAAATATTATATTTGTTTTAATATTATTTTGATTAAGGTATTTTATTAGTTTCAGTTTTGATTCATTTGTTTAAATATTATTTTTTGGAGGTAAATTTTTTTTTATTATCGAGAAGTTTCAACTTGTGTTTTATTTGATTGACATTATATGTTCTTTTTTGATCCATGAATTTTGAATTTAGTTTTTATTTGATTATTACATTTCAAAATGTAACATTTTCATCTCTAATTCAAAATTCAAGCGTAGAAGTATAAGATTTTGAAACATAAAGATCAATGAAAATTAAATTCAAAACTCAAAAGGTAAAAATGTAAAAATTTGAAATCTAGAAGCTATGTGAAAACTAAACTCAAAATTGAAGGACAAAAAGGTATTTTCACTGTTAATAATTATAATTTTTTTCCAATAATATCCAATTTAATTTATTAATAAAGTATTGTGACGATCTACATGGAACTCTCTACTCAAAATTAGTGATATAGGAAATGATATTTAATTTGTCCATTAATTATTAATTATGGTTTAAATTTCTATCCCGCCTCAAAATTCAAAGAAAGAATTAGATGGCAGAATCTGTACTTTAAAAGAATCGTCGAGGGCATTTTAGTAAAAGCACAGATATTCTGACAGTTTCGGTATCTGTCAGAGGACCTCAGTATTAAAGTGATGCAGGCGGCCTAATCGAAGCATTTGCGTTGTAAGGGTTTCGGTTTTCGAGATTTCGTTTGAAGATCCATTTCCATTGCTTACATTTTCAAATTTCTTGCTGTTTTGCTGCTATTTTCATCATCTTCTTCAAGATTCTTCTTCAGTGTCTCGGTAAGCCATTGAAATTCATGTTCCTTTCTTTTAACACTGTTATTAGATGATTGTCATCGAATTTCTCTCTGTTAATTTTGTTTCTAGATGTTTGAACTCTGGTTTTCGGTATCTGATGAGTAGGTTATGAATCAGAACTTATGTTTCTTGATTATGTTTTGGAGAATGAGAGGATATTAATTTTCTTGATGTACCTCCCTCTACCTATTTCTTGATTGATTTCTCACTGTATGCCTAAATTCCTGTATGTGTTGATACGTCTTAGGAATTATTATTTTTACCGAGAGGGAGAGATTCTTCAGTTTCTCGGTAAGCGATTGAAATTCATTTTCCTTTCTCTTTATCTGTAATTAGATGATTCGTCGTCGGCTTTCTTTGTAGGTGTTGAACTATGATTAGCAGTATGCGATGATGAAGTTATGAATCAACATTTCTATTTCTTGTTCATGTCTTCTATGTTTTTGTTATTTTCTAACTTCTCTCTCTCTCTTATGGCTCCTTTAAGTAAATTATTGTATGTGCTAATACGGCTTAAGAGTTACTATTCGTTCTTTCAATTTTCCACTATTTTCCATCACGAACTGGAAAAAAGACCCGTGACTGCGTAGCCTAATTCTTGCCTGACGAGGTTTTTCAAGGTTATAACATTATGTACTCTGCTGTCATCTTATCGCTAAATTTGTGCTGGATGTGGTTGCTACTGCGAAAGAGTTGGCTTCGCTGTTTAGTTTTTGTTTTTCAGGCTGCGAGATTTACTGATTAACTTTTGTAAGTTTGTATAAAAAAATTTTACCTGATAATTATTTAACGCTGAGAAGCTGCTATCTGGTTTCTAGATGATTGACTGTATTTTATATAATTGGACGACTGTTACATTCTTATTCCATTTATCTATATGATTATCTTGGACTCAACCAGGTATTTAAATATAATCCTTAAAATTCTTTAATGTTGGTTTAGGTGTCTGTGATTCTCAATTATAATTTTAGCTTTATTTGGTGTTATCTATGATTTCTGACTTGCTCTGTAGTTTGATTATAGACACCTGGGAATGCTGAAACATGTGTGTAGAAGTCGAGATTTTCTTCTCTGAGGTTGATGGGTTCATTCGTCCATCGTGGATACCCTCTTATGTACTTCATGATGTTGGTTATTTAATTCATCAACCACACAGATGTTCGTACCAAATACCCACTGCAGCTTGCAATGCAAGAGAGCCCATATTCTCAAAGCACAGTGATAGTGAAGATGGTTGAGCTTTCCTCGACTAATTCTGTTCAGTGGCAGTAAGTGTTGCTGTTTTTTAGTAAATTATATTTGTGATGGATAACAAGGGGGCTGTCTTGATGCAACGTTATGAGTTAGGAAGGCTGTTGGGGCAGGGAACCTTTGCCAAGGTTTACCACACAAGAGACGTTAAAAGTGGCACGAGCGTGGCCATTAAAGTAATCGACAAAGAGAAGATCTTGAAGGTTGGAATGATTGATCAAATCAAGAGAGAGATCTCTGTCATGAGGCTGGTTAAGCATCCTAATGTAGTTGAGCTTTATGAGGTTATGGCAAGCAAAACTAAAATTTACTTTGTCATGGAATATGTCAAAGGTGGTGAGCTATTCAATAAGGTATCCAAAGGAAAGCTCAAGGAATCTGTTGCACGGAAATATTTTTGGCAGCTGATCAGTGCTGTTGATTACTGCCACAGTAGAGGGGTATGCCATCGAGACTTGAAACCGGAGAATCTACTATTGGACGAACAGGGTAATCTGAAGGTCTCGGATTTCGGGTTGAGTGCTCTTGCTGAATCTAAACGTCAAGATGGATTGCTCCATACAACCTGTGGGACGCCTGCTTATGTTGCTCCAGAAATCATTAACAGGAGAGGTTATGATGGGTGCAAAGCCGATATTTGGTCGTGTGGAGTGATCTTATTTGTTCTATTGGCTGGTTATCTCCCGTTCCACGATTTAAATCTAATGGAGATGTATAAGAAGATTGGAAAAGGAGAATTCAAATTTCCTAACTGGTTTGCGCCAGAGGTGCGCAAGCTATTATCAAAGATTTTAGATCCAAACCCAAATACCAGGATATCTATTGCCAAAATAATGGGAAATTCTTGGTTAAGGAAGGGGTTGAATGTGCAACCCCAAACTAATGTAGAAGAAGTGAAAGATACTGCTCCTTTGGACATCGATGCTGCAGTTTTTATGTCGAACACCGAGGACAGAGATTGTGTTAGAGAGTTGAAGCAAGAAGCGGAAAAGCCATTGAATTTGAATGCTTTTGACATAATCTCCTTGTCAGCAGGTTTTGATTTGTCTGGTTTGTTCGAGGAGACTGATCAAAAGAAAGAAGTGAGATTCACATCCAACAAGCCTGCATCTACCATCATCTCTAAACTGCAAGACATTGCAAAATGCTTGAAACTGAAAATCAAAAAGAAAGACCGAGGCATACTGAAGATTGAAGGGTGTAAGGAAGGTCGAAAAGGAGCCGTATGCATCGACGCAGAGATTTTCGAGATTACCCCATCATTCCATATCGTGGAAATGAAGAAGTCGAGCGGAGATACGCTGGAATATCGTAAGATAATGAAAGACGATATAAGACCCGCTCTGAAGGACATTGTGTGGACTTGGCAAGGCGAGCAGCAGCAACAACAGCTAATACAACCGGGAGAACAAGGAGGACAAGAAGAGCAACAACAGTCTCCTATTTCACCGGTTACTTCTGTATTGCATTATAACACAGGGCTGGCGGAGGCATCATAAAGTATGAGGTACTGTACTTCCACTCCGATCTTTCATGTTATTGTAATGGTTTTTGCTTATTTGTTGATGTCTGAAGCTAATGATTTATTTTTGTGTCTTCGTTTCGGCCTCTCTATGTTCTAGTTACTTTTCTTATTTTTATAATTTATAATGACGACGATAACAATCACAATTCACAAGTTCATGAATTTGTCATAGACCCTTCCCTGACTAAGATGCTGCTTTGCGGTATTGATACACGAAAATCTTGCAAGATTTTAGTCTCTCGATCATTGATTTGTTAGAAGTGTTATTAACTACTTAATTCTTATGCATGTCACTTTTTCAGGTGAACTACTGCCCTTACAATTAATTTATGATTTGGAGTAATGCATAAGTTTTCTTTATTCTTGTTGAATATTGAATTGCTAACTTTGCTTTTATAGGTCTTGTTTTTTATAATATTTCCGTTTTTTAGTGTTTGTTCCTTTTCAACGCTTTGATTTATCTATTATTTGTTTTTTTAGTTATAATAAGCTTATTTACTATAATTTTCATCATTTTGTCATTTTCTTGTTGAAAATGTTTTTAGAATTGTAACTAAATTTTCAAAATTGAATAAATCTTTTTATCAATATGCTGTTGTGTTTTTGAGAGAATAAAGAAGAAAAAAGAATAACCAAATGTAATTTTAAAACGTAAAAAACTAAGAATTATATGGACTTTATTTCTGAGTTTCTGTTTTTTAAAATTAAGCTCCCTTTCGGCATTGGTAGATGTTTAATTTTCTTTCCTTTTTAAAAGTACTTTCAAAGCCTTGATCTTAACAAATTTAAAAAACTATGAAATAGGGTTTTTAAAATTATTTTTTTTATTTAAAAAATAATCTTTATAGTAAATTAGAAAAGTGTACAAGTAGATTTTTTTTTTTTTTATCAGCAAGGCTGACACGGATTTTAGAAGTTCTTTTAAAAATTAGATCACAAGTAAAAATCAGCTTTGTCTAAAAGCAAATTCAACTTTAATAAGGCCAGCCAGTACAATATGTCATTAAATCTCCTAAATAATCAGCTTTGCCTCAATCCACAAAAAGAAACTTACAAAACATAACAAGATCGTGATCTCGTTGTGGTAATTGACATTTACTCATTTTGAATATCTTACCTATACTGGTTCTACTAAAAAAATTAGGTTGTATCTGTAATGGTTTCAATTAATAATTTTAATAATTGATTATATTGTTTAATTAAAAAAATCATATTGTATGTAGATAATTGTTCGAGAAAGTATATTTTTGTTTTTTTAAAATAAATAAATAAATGTATCAGATTTGTTTATAATAAAAATATTGTTTCGTTTCTTTAACTGAGTTCGAAAAAACTTAAGCAAGATTATTGAAATTTAACAATTAACTCATAAGAATATAAAAAAACACTGGCAGTATTACACGACATGAAATCTATTATACATCAAACTATGTTCATAAGAAGTACAATTACTCATTTAATATTTAACCAAATTAAGTGCTTTATTTCAACATTATTCATTTGACATGTTCAAAACAACAGCAGTACGGAATTTTTTTAGAAACTACTTTACCAAGAGCTTACCCAGAGTCTCAATGTCACAAACTATGACAACAAAAATTACGTTGTTATTTAATAATTATTTCGTTTTTTAAAAGTCATGCTTGATTCTACATATTTTTTTATATGTTTTTTCACATTTTTAAAAGTTAAAATTAAAAAATAAAAACAAGATTTAAAAAAAAAAAATTTATTTCAAAAGGTTAGTTTAGACTTTGAAATCATTTTTAAAAATTAGATATTAAAACAAAGAAACAGATGGGAGCAGTGTTCCTAAATTTAATTTTTAAAAGCAAAAAATAAAAATATCATTAAATTGGGTCTACTTGGAATTTTATATAAGGAAAATAATTCGGTTTACTCGACAAGATATGGTGCTCACCGAATTAGTTATTTTTCTTGAATCAAAATCCTTTTAATTTTTACCTTTAACCAGAGATGGGACTTGTTCCTTTCCTCTTCTGTCAGCAAACTATTTTCCACCAGATCCGAAACATCATCAATCTGAATCTTTTAATAGTTAATAAAACTTGCCGACAATCTTCCAGAAGGGCTCCTCAGCTCACAATCTGCGTAAAAAGAAATATGTAATACAATAATATACTATTTACCACAAGAGAAACGAACAGTTGGTCTACTTCATCACGTGGGGTTGAAGCATAATATTGCTTGCAACCCTGAAAAATGAAAAAGGATTAAAGCCAAAGGAATTCAGAAATAAGATGCGTTTCAGCCATCTTTATTTGATGGAAATGATAGGGAAGTGGAAACAGTATATAACCTTTAAAGTTATTTAATTGATGAAGAACTCGTTTATTCGCGGGGAAAGAGAGAGTTGTATAGACCAGAAGTTTTGTTCATTGAATCTGATCCCAGATAACAGTAAGTTACCAACACGGCAGATCAGGACAGCGAGAAAAATGTAGCAAGTTCCATCAGCTCTGATACTCAAACGGTCACTCCGAGGAAAAATACAACTTGCAACATCCTGCTGGATCTTATAAATGAGGATTATCCCAGCTGACTTTAAAAAGTGTTTGTTTATGTAAAGATATGCACAACAGTGTGTTCCCGATTGCAGCTCGAACTGGGCCTCCGGACCGACCTGAACACTTGGGCGGACCTGCACAAAAAGGTGAGCACTCCGACGATCAAGTCAGTATAAGTCGGATTCCCAATTTAGTTCGAGGCCAGAAATCATCGTACCTGATCGGGGAGTGAGGCCCTCTATTTATGGGTGGTAGTCCCGCCAATCTCGCGACGGTTACATTTGGTAATCTCGGGACCGTCGGTTACACCCGGTAATCTCGGGACCGACTGTTACGCCCGATAATCACGCCGCAGACAGTTGCTCACATCGGCCCCTACCAAGCTCCCCGGTAGGTCAGACCTGGGTCAGGTTCACCTCGACCCTCATACTTAGCATTTGTCGACGTTAGTGGCGGCCATCTCGGCTATCCGAGCTGGGCATGACTCATGAGCCATCTTGGAGAACTAATAGGGGTCCTCCACGTGTCCAGGATATTCCCTTCCCCAGACAGTGTTAAAATCCTTGAACAGTACCGAAAATCCAATGCACAGATAGCTATAACATCAGGTTTCAACTATTAAACATAATTGGAACTTCTACCTTAAAATCTACTACATTACCGCGTGGTGTACGTGAGACCATGAAAGAACGAGAAATTTTGTAAGGGAAAGAAAAGACAATTTAATAGGATAAACCGTCATTTAATGCATTAGATTTCCTAAACTATGCAGTAGACAAAAGATAGACTGAAAAGACCCTTGCAGCTGAGACCAACGGCAGGTCATTGTTTAGCATGATGCCCCCTCACGCGCAGGGAAGGCCATCTAAGCTCTGGAGACATGTAAAATTAACAGTTATATGATATTGTTCCCAAAGCTATAGCTAACTTTGGTAAATAAAAATAAATTGAATAACTCTCATATGATGTTCGGTGTATATCATACATTTTTCTGTTTTTTTTTTTAATTTCTAGAAAGAGTAAGACTCGAACCTGGATTTTGGATGTGAAATCCAGACCTCTTGCCACTACGCCAACACCCGAAGGTGCTCCACTGAATATCATATTGATTCCTAGAAGAGAAGATTTTAAAAGGTCTAACAAAATTTTTGTACCTGTAATATTTATTAAGATCACCAAATCAATTCATATTTAATTTAAAATATCTTTTTTAGTACAACGAGGGTGAAAGATTTGAATTCATAATCTTTAATTTAAAATATCTTTTTTAGTACAACGAGGGTGAAAGATTTGAATTCATAACCTCTTGATTAGATAAGTATCAATTAGTACTGAACTAAGTTCACGGATATTTTGAATTATTATCATCATCAAGACCTGGATCATTAGCAGTGGCATCAGGTTAAATTGACAAAAATATAGGCGCTATATAACAATCTCCCCGAAGGAGTAGAAATTACTCACGGAGAATGCTATCCTAATAAAACGAGGCAATTATTTCAACTTGCAGAAAGAAAGAAAGAGACAAAATCAAAACGAAAGGATGGATACTACTTTTATATAGCAGCAGCAGAAGCAAACGACAAGAAGAAATTTGAGTAAAGGATTTCATCATAAAGCATTTAAAAACACATTAATTTTGGTGGAAATAAAGAAGCGCCAAAAACAAGAACATTTAAAAAAAAATACAGAAAACATTTTCCCGCTCTTTTCTGGACTTCTAGCTACAGCAGGCTTGCAGTAGATCTGTTGCCATGCTTCTACGACTACGATTTCAAGAGTGAGAATATCAGTTGAATGTGCGATTCTTCTAGATAATAGAGAGGACGCTCCTTCGAGTTTCTACTAATTTTTCTCAGGTTTTTGAAATTCATTTTGTTCAAACTTCTTTCGGAGCTGATCTGAACGGCACTCAACACCACAGTACTACTGCTAAAGAACCAAAAACTCTGGTAGGAACTAATAAACAACTAACCAAAGCAATTTCAGAAGCTTAGACACCATAATGGCGATAAAACAGAGAATTGTACGGGAAAAAAACCAGCAACAATCACTTCAACGAAAAAACCTAAATGAGAACATGAATGATAAGAATCAAACCTAATTATCGGCACATTTTAGAAGGATGAAGAGTACACAGTTTGTAAGCGATCGCGAGAAAATGGCGCCAAATGAGAGCCGCAATGAGCAAGCGATTCAGCACCACCGGTCATCGTCGACGGAAGTAGATGGAGACCGCTGCGTGGAATCTATCAACGAACGGTGTAAATCAGAACATCTAATGATAATCGAAAATATGATTATGGAATAGTAGAATACGAGTACAAATCGTACACAATGACGATGAAATGTAACGAAATGTGAGCCCGAACTGCGATGGCAATTAATCAATGCCTGTCATCGACGGCGGAGGAAGATCCGATTCGATGATTCCGGCAGCCGAAGCTCCGCCGCGCTTGCCGAACACGGAAGCAGAGAAGATAGAAAACAGAGGATAACAAAACGAAAGTTTTGCGTAGAAAGCAAAATACCGGAGACGCGATACGTATGTTGCTATTTGCGAAGGGGTTTCTTACTGGGCCGAAATTGAGCCCATTTAGCTAGATGGAAAAATCAGCAGTTGACCAAAATGCCCCCAAGGATGGAATGGCAAAATCGAATATTTTAAAATATGTTCGCTTCATTTTTAGCGAGAAATT